ACACCTCATTCCCTGTCACATTCCTTTAACACTTCCCATTGCCCCTTAGCATTCTTTTTCTTGACCCTACAACCTCCACCTCCCAGGTTTAAGCGATTCTCCTGCCTCAGCCTCCCAAGTAGCTGGGATTACAGGTACGCATCACCATGCCTGGCTAATTTTTGTATTTTTAGTAGAGATGGGGTTTTGCCATGCTGGCCAGGCTGGTCTCAAACTACTGGCCTCAGATGATTCGCCTGCCTCAGCCTCCCAAAGTGTTGAGCGTGAGCCACCGCACAGATCAACCATTTCTTATTCAAATCTACAGTAGTTAAAAAAGAGAAACAGTAGGGTCAATTAACTTAACCACCCAGGGGCTCATTTCTGTCCCCATTATGACTTAGTCTCCTTTCTATTACCTACAGATAATGTTACTAGAGAAGGAACCTTCTTGTGGAACCAGCCAAATGGCTGAGCTAGCTCCCCTGTGAGGGCATGAGGGAACTGTGTGATCCGAAAACACATACAGCCGGAAAACAACACCGTTAGGGATTGGTCCTTGATTTCATGTTTTTAGCACAGAGGATCTATGGAAGCACCAGCTCTATGACTAGAGAAGCTACAGAACTCCCAATTCTGGTTTCCTTTCTCTTCGGGAGTCTTCTGCTTTGATTCTTGCCATCACATGCCTACATTTCTCTTGGGATATGTTCCTCTGCCTTTAAAACCCAGGCCCTCCTTAGAATATGAGATAGGCTGGCCTTTTCCAAAAGAATTTTACTAAATAAGAGAAGGAGTTAATGAAAGGAAAAAGAAGACAGAAATAAATCATGGAAAACACAAACCAACAAGACAAAGTCCGTTTTCTGAAGCCTGGCTTCTGGTTTCAGATTAATTACATTTTAGACCTCCAGGCTCCTTTCCTGGGTTCAGTATCACAGAACTCCCAGACAGTGGCCAGCATCAATTTCTTTTTATTTATTTATTTATTTATTTATTTTATTTTTAAATTTTTTTTGAGATGGAGTTTTGCTCTTGTTGCCCAGGCTGGAGTGCAATGGCACGATCTCAGCTCATCACAACCTCCACCTCCCAGGTTCAAACGATTCTCCTGCCTCAGCCTCCCTAGTAGCTGGGATTACAGGCATGTGTCACTGTACCCAGCTAATTCTGTATTTTTAGTAGAGCCGAGGTTTCTCCATGTTGGTCAGGCTGGTCTCAAACTCCCAGCCTCAGGTGATCCGTCCGCCTCGGCCTCCCAAAGTGCTGGGATTACAGGTGTGAGCCACCATGCCCAGTCTATTTATTTATTTTTTTGAGACGAAGTCTTGCTCTGTTGCCCAGACTGGAGTACAGTAGCTTGATCTTGGCTCACTGCAATCTCTGCCTCCCAGGTTCAAGCGATTCTTCTGCCTCAGCCTCCTGAGTATCTGGGACTACAGGCGCGTGCCACCACGCCCGGCTAAGATTTTGCATTTTCAGTAGAGATGGGGTTTCACTGTGTTGACCAGATTGGTCTCGAACTCCTGACCTTATGATCCGCCTGCCTCGGCCTCCCAAAGTGCTGGGATTACAGGCGTGAACCACCGAGCCCAGCCAACCAGCACCAATCTCTTTTTATTTTTTCCCACATATAAAAACTCCATCCCTACGTTCAGACAAAAACCAACTCTCCATTTCACCTCTTCACCTAAAGCTTTCTTTTTTTTTCTTTTCTTTCTTTATTTTTTTGAGACACAGTCTTGCTCTATTGCCCATGCTAGAGTGTAGTGGCACAAACATGGCTCACAGCCTGGACCTCCTGGGCTTAAGCGATTTTCCTGCCTCAGCCTTTTCCAGAGTAGCCAGGACCATAGTTGTGCACCAACTGGCTAACTTTTTGTTTTTTTTGGTAGAGGTGGGGTCTTGCCATGTTGTCCAGGCTCAAATGATCCTCCTGCCTTAGCCTCTCAAAGTGCTGGGATTACAGGCATGAGCCACCATGCCTAGCCACCTATAGCTTTCTTGCTGCATCCACTTCTCTTCAACTAAATGGTGAAGAACTATCTTATATGTGGTTCTTTAATTGCAACAACTGTGCAAGGAAATTTCATCCGTGTAAGGGCTGGATTTGCCTTGGGATTTCTGGCATGGCCTGAGAGACACTTCTTCCTTAGTGATGAGAATAACTGGAATAGGGAGAAGGGACTTAAGACATATGAAGCTCTCAACAAGTGCCAACACCTTCTATATTTAAATTTTACCACGCTGGGCATGGTGGTTCATGCCTGTAATCCCAGCACTTTGGGCGGCCAAGCAGGCAGTTCACCTGAGGTCCGGAGTTCCAGACCAGTCTAGCCAACATGGTGAAACCCTGACTCTACTAAAAATACAAAAACTAGCCAGATATGGTGATGGGCACCTGTAGTCCCAGCTGCTTGGGAGGCTGAGGCAGGAGAATTGCTTGAGCTTCGGAGGTGGAGCTTGCAGTGAGCTGAGTTGTGCCATTGCACTCCAGCCTGGGCAATGAGAATGAAACTCCGTCTCAAATTTTTTTTTTACCATAAGCCTTTGAGGTAGGTATCAACCAGTAGTAATATTTTGTAATCCCTCTTGAGGCTCAGAGGGGTTAAGTAACTTGCTCAAGGTCTTTATAGTTAAACTCCCAAACTAGGAGTGATGTTAGGGCTGGTTGATGACAAGTTTGTGGTCTAAACCATGTAGCTAAGAAGGGAGACGTGCCTTTGCTTTTTTAAAGGTGCAGGCTTTCCACCCTTCTTTGCTTGAAACGTTTCTTTCAATCTACAAACATTTGCTGAGCTCCTTTATGTGTGAACCTCTCTGGAATTACGACAAAGAAAAGTTTCATAGGCAAAGTCCTATATTGAGCTCTTCTGATTCTCTGAGTCCATGATTCGTTGGTATTTATTCTTCAGATACTGAGCATCTACTATGTCAGCTCAGAAATGTAGAGGACATTGGCCTAGGAGCTGGAGATGGAAGAGACTAACATATAGAATCTAGAGTAAAAAACGGTTCCAAGTACTGCCACCATCATTACCTCCTGCTAGTCCCCTTCAAGTCTTTGAGGTCTTTCATGGGGCGCTGCTGGATAAGGCTGTTCCTGAGGGTACGTAGGGAGTTTTCTTGGCATCTTTCACCATTTATTGTGGTTAGCACAGTCATCAGAAACACCTGGCAAGAGCATTAAGCTGGGGAAATGAGACAGGCACACGATGAATTAACAAAAACAGGGCAAGATTTTGAAGGAGGAGAGATTGCTTATGAAAAATTAATGGGAAAACACCCTAAAGCTTGTGATCCACTTCTTTGCACTTTATGGTTTCTAGATGGTCTTTGCACTTGGAGAAAGACTGTGGTTCAGAACATTCTAGGCCAGAGAAAAGGGCTGATTTATAATCCCAATATTGCTGCCAGTTTACTGTGTGATTCCAGATGAATTTTTCAACCTATTTACGTGTCAGCTCAGAAATGGAGTGATGTCAGTTTTGTCAGAATGTTTTTGGTGGGATCTCTCGTAAATGTTGAATGACAGCTATGCAATGTGCAGAACAGAACACTTTTGCTTTCTTCTCTGGGTCAGAATTTGACACATGGCTCAGAATTTGACACACAGCAGAGAACCCTTGGGAATCTGTGGTTTTCTGGGGTTAAAAAGAAAGCAAGAGACACCTGTTATTTGCATGGTGCTCTGTGTTCCCTGGTTTAAAAAGCACTTTCAGATATCATCACAACTGATCCTTACCACACCTGTGAAGGGGGAATTCGCGTTCCCATTTTATAGATGAGGAAACAGGTCATAGAGTCAATGTAATTCAATGGTGCTTTCTTTTTTTATTTTTATATTTTGCCTCAGCTACGCATAACTTTTTTTTCATCTCAATACTTTGTGATAAGGGACCATCACAAATGTCATCACCAAACAACCGAAACACAACCTTCTTTTCTGGGGGCACCTCTTAGCCCCGCACAGACCTCAAACCCAGAGTCGACAGCACACAGCTGTGTATCACCAGATATTCCAAACAAGCCACCACACCAAGAAATCCTCTTCGTGTTTATTATGCACCAATGTCTGGGAGTACTTTGGAATGGACTGGCTTCTCTAAAGAAAGTTATTTGTGTTCGTTTGGGGGATAGCCAGCTAAGATTCAACGTTGTTTTTTTTTTTTTTGTTTCTGTGAGAGTAGGAAGGCCGTGAAAACAGAGGTTGTTTAGAGAATTGGCTTGGGACAATAATCATTTAGAAGCTTTAGGCACATAACCAGCTAAGTGTCCATCCACATCAAGGTGATTGAACAGAATCTCCTCTTTTTGGGGGTGGTGATTGTGAACTGTAGGGCCCTGTTCCCCCATGGACAAAAGAAGCCCCCCACTCCTAAAGGTCCCAGCAGAACAGGCCCTGCATATATAGGGCCTGTTTAGAGCCAGGGCCTCCATTTGGGTGTTGGAGAGTTGGTTCTGCTCAGCCCAGTTTTGGGGTGAACGATGACGCAGTTAGGGTAGCCTAGGAAGGGAGTTTTTCAACCTCTGTCCCCAGCTGGGTCTGTGGCGAGGCGGGAAACACCCGGGGTCTTCCTGGCCCTAGAGCCTGCAGGCTCCAGGCCGGCCCCTAGGATCTCACCACGAGGAAGGCACCCTGCTGCCTGTACTTAATTTGCATCCAAGAGTTTGCATTGAGATTGGCGCTCGCCTACCAGGTCAGCCCCAGGGGGGTTCCCCAGGGACAGAAGTAGGAAAGGAGGACCTGTCTCGGGGTGGACAGGTGACGGGGTACACTGGGTGGGGCAAGAGGTGCTGGGGAGAGGCTGAGCCCCAGCCCCCACTCTAATTCTCTAACTGCCCCTGGTCCGCATTTGAGCGCAGGCCTCTGCCTCGGCCAGGACCCTGGCCCCAGGGCCCTCCACTTCCAGCAAGGCCCCCCACCCTCCCTCCCACTCTCCTTACCCTCCCCCTCCCCCCCAATTCCCGCTGGTCCCGCAGCGCTCGGGCCTCCCCGGGCCTCCCCCGGCCCGGCCCACTAGGCTTCGCTAGCCTGGCGCTGGGGGCGGGCACCAGCCCCCACCCCTCGGCGTCCCCTCCCCTTCACTTCCCCCTCCCCCTGTCCCCTCCCTTCCCTCCCTTCCCCCCCGTGGCGAGGCAGCAGCGGAGGCGGCGGCGGCAGCGGCGGTCGAGGCTGAGGCTGAGGAGGCGGCGGCGGCGGCGGGCGGGGCTCGGCTCGGGCTCCGCGGGCGGGCGGGCGGACATGGCGGCCAACATGTACCGGGTCGGAGGTAGGCAGACTCAGCCCGACCCGGCCCGTGTGGGAGCGGGCTCCGGGACCGGGGGGCCGGGGCAAGCGCACGCCAACTGCCGGGAGCCACTGGCGCCGGGGCTGAGGTCGCAGGGGGCGGGGGCGCCGGGGCCCGCAGAGGGGCCAGGACTCCCCACCCCCACCCCACCCCTCCCCTCCCCCAACGGGGGCTCGCGAGGGGCCGGGGCCACCTTCACCCTCGCACCCCGCCAGGTGTTTAGGGCCAGGCCTCTACTTGGGGGTACGAATTACCAGACACCTCCCTCCACGAAACCCTCATGGTGGTGGGGCCCGTCGAGCCCCCTGAGAAGGTGGCCTTCTCGCGTGGCTTCTAGGCGCTGGAGAGGATGAGGGGACATCCCCTCCGCTGCTTCTTCCCTACTCAGTGGGAGCCTGGGGTGGGGGTGGGGGCGGTGGGGGCCCAGCCAGGGGCCCAGCTGGACAGGCCTGTTTGCGGGCCCGGGCCCTGCACCTCGCCTTCCTCGGCCCCCCTCCTTTCGTTTCTGGTCCAGCCCCCCACGAATGGGGCTTCGTGGGACCTGGGAACCTCAGCCGGAGGTGGGGAGTTGAGCTCTGCCTGGACGTTTGCTCTGCTGCCTGCCTCCTTCCCAGTCTGCGGAAGAGAGAAATAAGGTCAAACAAACTTTCTCCCTACTCACGACGCCCTCCTCCCTCTTTCCTGGTAAAATAATAATTCAGATAAGTGGCGTGTTTGTATGAGAGACTGGCTCTTCCTTCTCCGCTCATTAGCTGAGCTTCTGATGGATGGTGGTGGGAATGGCCTGGCTAAATGAGGCCACTTTGCAGAAGAGAGCGGCGAAAGAGCCACTAAGCTAGACAATAACAATGCAGCTGCCTTTTGGATAAACACACAGTGGGAAGTTTCCAGCGAGCCTATCAGATGAGAGGAAAAGTCACACTTGAAAAATGTTATCTTTTTAGTTGAAAGCCTGCAGCAATTTCTTAATCACAATACATTAAATGGATCTGGATTAAATATGGTAAAAGGGTAAAAAAGATGGTGATATCACCCCCAGGGCACCTTGCCTCTTATAATTGATCCCCCTGACCCGCTTTTTTCCTCATCTTCCCAGGTAGAGCTGTGGAAAAGTTTGTTAGTGTTCTTCCTCTTACCTGTTCTGCTCATCTGATTTTTTTTTTTTTTTTAAGTAGCGATTGAAATGTAGGTTGGACTGTGAAGCCTTTCTCCATGCTCTGAATGTGTCTTAGGTCAATAGTTTTATGTGAGAAGCAGCCTCCAGGGCAAATTGTATTGGAGGAAAAAGATGTGGAAATAGTTATAGTACAGAGGACACATGTTTAGTGTGCCCTGACTACCCAGTGATAAGAGGTGTCTTTTTTGTTTATTATTAAATAAATGACATATTGGGACAGAAGTCTAGGAGAAACTGATGAAACATTAATTGAAATGAAAATGCCAAGAAAATAAAGGTCCGTGAATAGTAGGCACATGAGAGAATATATTAAGGCTGCTTTATTATGTTTGCTTTTACCAGTGAATGAATTATGAGCTTAATTTCAAACGTGAATTGCCTAACATAAAAAGTCTTGGATTGACAAATCTGAACTTTCTGTTGAAAATATTAAGTTTTGTACTTCCTTTAATTACAGATTATGTCTACTTTGAGAATTCCTCCAGCAACCCATACCTAATAAGAAGGATAGAAGAACTCAACAAGGTATATACACTGAGTGTTCTTAATTTTAATTTAAAAAATATTTATTTTCCCTTGACGGGTAATTGGGTAAAGGGTGGCCTGGTGCGGAGCCTCATGCCTGCAATCCCAGTAAATTGGAAGGTCTGGTGGGTGGATAGCTTGAGCCCAGGAGTTTGAGAGCAGCCTGTGCAACATAGTGAGACCCCATCTCTATTTTTTTTTAAATTAATGTAAAAAATAAAAATAGGGCCGGGCACGGTGGCTCATGCCTGTAATCTCAGCACTTTGGGAGGCCGAGGTGGGAGGATCACCGGAGGTCGGGAGTTCGAGAACAGCCTGACCAACATGGAGAAACCCCGTCTCTGCTAAAAATACAAAAAAATTAGCTGGGCATGGTGGCACATGCCTATAATCCCAGCCACTCGGGAGGCTGAGGCAGGAGAATCGCTTGAACCCAGGAGGCAGAGGTTGTGGTAAGCCAAGATCGTACCATTGCACTCGAGCCTGGGCAATGAGTGAAATTCCATCTCAAAAAAAAATAATAATAAATAAAAATGAATGGGGTAAAGGGCATAAGAGATGGTTTTACTTTCAGTTCCAGACTCTTTAAAAGTTGAGATTTTAGGCCGGGCATGGTGGCTAACGCCTGTAATCCCAGCAATTTGGGAGGCCAAGGCAGGTGGATCACTTGAGGTCAGGAGTTCAAGACCAGCCTGGCCAACATGGTGAAACCCCGTTTCTACCAAAAAAGTACAAAAAAATGAGCTAGGCATGGTGGCATGCACCTGTAGTCCCAGCTACTCAGGAGGCTGAGGCAGGAGAATCGCTTGGACCTGGGAGGCAGAGGTTGCAGTAAGCCGAGATCACCCCATTGCACTCCAGCCTGGGTGACAGAGCGAAACACTGTCTCCAAAAAAAAAAAAAAGAAAGTTGAGATTTTAGAGAGTTATGCAGGATTCTGAATTCCGAATATTCTTTTGCTTTTTAGTTACTGAATATTTAAAAGTCTGCAGATATTTTCAAATTGCTTAGAGCCTCTGAAAGAGCAGTTCACTTATGTAACTCAGACCCTTTTTATGTTTAGAGTCATAATGTGTATTTTTCCCTTTTTAGTGAATTAATATTTTCCTCTTCCAGGTTGAGAAGGAGGAAGCTAGGGAACATAATATTGAAAGGAATTGGCTGGGCGGGTGCAGTGGCTCACACCTGTAATCCCAGCCACTTTGAGAGGCCGAGGTGGGTGGATCACCTGAGGTCAGGAGTTTGAGACCAGCCTGACCAACTTGGAGAAACCCCATCTCTACTAAAAATACAAAATTAGCCTAGTGTGTTGGTGCCTGCCTGTAATCCCAGCTACTCGGGAGGCTGAGGCAGGAGAATTGCTTGAACCTGGGAGGTGTAGGTTGTGGTAAGCCAAGATCACACCATTGCCCTCCAGCCTGGGCAACGAGAGTGAAACTCCTTAAAAAAAAAAAAAAATTTTTGAAGGGAATTTGTAAAATTCTGGACTAGGCTAAATTGTCTGTGGTAGCTCACACCTGTTATCCCAACATTTTGGAAAGCTGAGACCTCAGGATCCTTTGAGTCCAGGAGTTCAAGACTAGCCTGGGTAACACAGGGAAACCCTATCTCTACCAAAAAAAATAGCCGGGTATGATGGCACATGCCTGTAGTCCCTGTTACTTGGGAGGCTGAGGAAGATTGCTTGGGCCCAGGAGGTCAAGGCTGCAGTGAGCTGTGATTACATCACTGCGTTCCAGCCTGGGTAACAGAGACTCTGTCTCAAAAAAAAGAATATGGTTTTGGTATAATAAATATAAAATAGCTTTGTACCTTTGGCCCAGTTAAAATGTTTACATTAAGGTTTGTCCGTGATCGTAGATTATTAGGAAAACAGAAGCCTTATGATTGCAGGAGAAGAACCTTTTTTTCGTTTTGTTTTGTTTTTTGGAGATGGAGTTTTCACTCTTGTAGCCCAGATTGGAGTGCAATGGCGCGATCTTAGCTCACTGCAACCTCTTCCTCTCAGGTTCAAACGATTCTCCTGTCTCAGCCTCCCAAGTAGCTGGGGTTACAGGCGTGCACTAGCACGCCTGGCTATTTTTTGTGTGTTTGTTTATTAGAGACAGGGTTTTACTATGTTGGTTGGGTTTACCTTGAACTCCTTACCTCAGGTAATCCACCCGCCCCAGCCTCCCAAAGTGCTGGGATTACAGGTGTGAGCCACTGCGCCTGACCAGCGTTTATATAATGGAGGCACCAGAAAGCAGTTGTAAGCTACATGGACCATAGATTTTCTAATGATGCTTTGTTTTCCTTCAGACTGCTTTGAGGGTTGTGTGGCTTATGAGACTTCATAGTGTTAAAATCTTTGCGTCTGTCTAGCTAATACCTTTCCCTCAAAATGCCATCTGGTTACTTGTTCAGTTTTGTCCTGGGAAGGCAAGCCTGACCTAGGACGTTCCTACTTTAAAGAGCCTTGGGACCTTGGTTTGTTTTGGGAATATCCCAGAGAATTTGCATTATTTTTATTTATTCCAGAGACAGGGAGACAGGGTCTGACTCTGTCATCCAGGCTGGAGTTCAGTGGTATGATTATAGCTCGCTGTAACCTTGAACTCCTGGACTCAAAGCAATCCTCCTGCCTCAGCCTCCCAAGTAGCTGAGTTTACAGGCATACTCCACCATGTCCGGCTAATTTTTAGCAGAGGCGGGATTTCTCCATGTTGATCAGGCTGGTCTCTTAACTCCCGACCTCAGGTGATCCACTGCCTTGGCCTCCCAAAGTGCTGGGATTACAGGCATGAGCTACCGTGCCCGGCTTCCTTTTCTCAAAATGACTGTGCTACTGCATTTGCCTGTGTTAGTTGTCACCCAGGCTGGAGTGCAGTAGCATAGATCCTGGCTTACTGCAACCTTCTCCTCCCGGGTTCAAGTGATCTCCCTCAGCCTCCCAAGTAGCTGGGATTACAGGCGCCTGCCACCAGGCCCAGCTAATTTTTTTGTGTTTTAGTGAAGACAGGGTTTCACCATGTTGGCCAAGCTGGTCTCGAACTCCTGACGTCAAGTGATCCACACACCTTGGCCTCCCAAAGTGCTGGGATTACAGGTGTGAACCACCACACCCAGCCTAATTTTTAAATTTTTTGTAGAGATGGCGTCTCACTATGTTGCCCAGGCTAATCTAGAACTCCTGTCCTCAAGCAGAGCCCCATCTTGGTCTCTGAAAGCACTGAGAGATTTTACATTAAAAAAAAAAAAAATTTAGTCTTTGAGACCACCAAATAAAGAGAATGGCCTCAAGTTTAGATCGGTCTGTGGGTGGGAACTGTTGGCATGTGATTCTGATCTTTTATGTTCTTGATGTAAGGTATAAGAATTGAGGCAACTCCAAACTATTTACTGTATCAGTTTAATTAGAAAGTTAATTAGATTGAAATAGAAATCTTGACCTATGAGACCCTGTATTCTTTGGCAGTCACTGCCCCTCTCTGACCTCCATTTTTGCTGAAAGCAGGTGGGAGCTCTGCCTTGCTTACTTGGCACAAAGTACAGTGGGCTCTTGGTTGTTTCTCCCTGCAGCCACCTTAGGAGGACCGTTTATTTGTATCCATCCTACCCCTCACCCCTTGCTCTTTTTTCCATATCATTTATCACCTCCAAATATACTTACTGTGTTTGTTTTCATTACCTGTCTTCCTAGAGTGTCAGCTGTAGTGATCTTCTCTGTTTTGTCCAGTTATGCATTCTGAATGCCTTAGAATAGTTGTTGGCACATAGTTAAAGGCATTCACTAAATACTTGTTGAATTAATTAATTTCTGAAATGTCTGATGTTAATGCTTATACATACATAGCTTTACTATTTACCAACTGCTTCAATTCATTCATTTTACAAGTAATTTTGAGGACCTTCTACCAGCCGGGTACTTTTAGACAGTGAGAATGCAAGGATGATAAACAGGTCTAGTGCAGACAGACATCAACCATATAGTCCCACAGGTAAAAGTAAAATTGCAGCTGTGCTAAGTTTAGAAATGTCACAGCATGGTGCCCTGGAAACCTAACCTGGGATTCACATTTGTTACCCTTTTGAGCCTCACATAACCTTACACCTTAAGGTACCTAAATCATGCGTTGTTGTCTTGAGGCGCACAGTAGCTAAATGATTAGGTTGCACATCTAGGTGAACATGGATTATTTCACACTCCTTTATCATTTCATTGCCATTTACTTCCAAAATGCCCCCATCCTCCATCCTCACCTCCTCCCTCCCCCTACCTGTTGTCAGCACAGAGTCATCCATGTAATAGCGAGTCTCTGGGGCTGGGGGATGACTGTACTGTGAATCCATGTAATAGCGAGTCTCTGAGGCTGGGGGATGACTGTGTTGTGAGAGATGGGATTCTTTGTAATTTCACAAAATGGTAGTTTGAATGGCTAATTGAAATATTTACATAGGATCTTTATTTCTGAAGGGATGTGAAAAAGATATCTTATTTTAGGTAATTCATTAAGCAAATACTATTGAGTACCTGTTATGTACCGGCCACTGTGCTAGGCTCAGAGATAGAACTGTGAACAAGATGGACATGGTCTCTACCCATACATGGTCTACATTCTCATGAGGGAGACACCCAGAAAGACAAGTTGACGGGCATGAAGAAAATAGTAATAGTAATGCATTGTGTTAACTTCTAAGAAGGCAAGTGCCTTGACATAGAGAATGACAGGTCATTTCCTTTAGGTAGGGTGGGAGAGGACATTGAAGTTGAGGTCTAAAGGATGAGGAAGAGGGAACTATGGCAAGAGAAGCCAAAGGAGTATTCTAGATAAAGGCCCTGGGAAGATCAGAGGTGAAATTGGTTAGGTACGGAAAGTTAAAACATGATGGGAAAATCCAAATAATGATTTAAAAATACTTGAAGACAGGCATGGTGGCTCAGGCCTGTGGTCCCAGCTGCTCAAGAGGCTGAGGCAGGAGGATTGCTTGAGACTGGGGGTTTGAGACCAGCCTGTGCAACATAACAAGACCCCCCATCTCTTAAAAAAACCAAAACAAGGCGGGATGCGGTGGCTCACGCCTGTAATCCCAGGACTTTTGGAGGCTGAGGTGGGTGGATCACCTGAGAGGAGTTTGAGACCAGCCTGGCCAATGTGGTGAAACCCTGTCTCTACTAAAAATACAAAATTAGCTGGGCGTGGTGGCACATGCCTGTAATCCCAGCTACTTGGGAGGCTGAGGCAGGAGAATTGCTTGAACCCAAGAGGCGGAAGTTGCAGTGAGCTGAGATAGCATCATTGCACTGTAGCCTGGGCAACAGAGCGAAACTCCCTCTCAACAAACAAAACAAAACAAAACCACCTCTGAACTGAAAATACTTACTCTGTTCTGATTGATGAGCTAGGAAAAAAAGGCTACTTGGGAGGCTGAGGCAGGAGGATCGCTTGAACCAGGGAGTTGGAAGTTGCAGTGAGCCGAGATCACGCCACTGCACTCCAGCCTGGCAACAGAACGAGACTCCATCTAAAAAAATATATATATATATACACATATATATAAATGAACTCTTAATTGCTGTAATGCACTTAGTCTCAAACCTTGTACTTATTTCATTAAATGCCATTAACAGTTGCAGACTGGCACTGGGCTGTAGACCCATGAGTAACCATGCTTCAGAAGAATGCTGGAGAGGGTGTGTTTGTAGAGGGGAAGAGGAATATGGTAGCCATAAGCTACCTAGTAGCCAAGTGAGTGCATGGTCAAGAAGGGACTATTTATGGCCGGGGCAGTGGCTCACGCCTGTAATCCCAGCACTTTAGGAGGCTGAGGCGAGTGGATCACGAGGTCAGGAGATCAAGACCATCCTGGCTAACACAGTGAAACCTCATCTCTACTAAAAATACAAAAAATTAGCCGGGCGAGGTGGCGGGCGCCTATACTCCTAGCTACTCAGGAGGCTGAGGCAGGAGAATGGCGTGAACCCGGGAGGCGGAGCTGGCAGTGAGCCGAGATTGCGCCACTGCACTTCAGCCTGGGTGACAGAGCAAGACTCCGTTTCAAAAAAAAAAAAAAAGAGAAGAGACTATTTGTTTTGAACTATGCTCCCCGCCCCCTAAGCAAGTTTAAATAATAATTTAATTAGCTTTGTATAGCATCCCTATTGGAGGAACTCACTAGTGAGGCAGAAGAAAATATGCCTTGAAACTGTTGATTTGGATTTTTTATTTTATTTTCTTGAGATGGAGTGTCACTCTGTCACCCATGCTGGAGTGCAATGGTGTGGTCTTGGCTCACTGCAACCTCCACCTCCCAGGTTCAAGCAATTCTTCTGCCTCAGCCTCCTGAGTAGCTGGGACCACAGGTGTGTGCCACCACACCTGGCTAATTTTTGTATTTTTAGTAGAGACGGGGTTTTACTATGTTGGCCAGGCTGATCTAGAACTCCTGACCTCATGATCCCCCTGCCTTGGCCTCCCAAAGTGTTGGGATTACAGGCATAAGCCACCGTGCCCAGCCTGGAGTTTTAATGTCTCAAGAAGAGACAAAAATCACATTGAAAATCCAAAGCAACAGTTTCAAGGCATATCTCAAAAAGACAAAATCTCAAGAAGACAGAAATGACTAAGAGCTTATATTTGAAGTCACTTATAGATTTTATTTTATTTACATGGAAATCCTGGCCTGTTCATTTAGCAGACTGCTGGATCATTATTTCTGGAGAATGTATTTGATCACAGTATTATGAAATATAGAAGCACTTTGGTTAGAAATTTAATATGATTTCAATTTTAAGGGGCACTGTTTCCACAGGACTATTTTTTAATCTAAAATACTGCTGCTGAACTTCATAAAATTGACACATTTACTGCAGAACTTTTATATTCTTCTTTGTATTTGAGTATATCTGTAAGACCAGATAAATTTCTGAAAATTTGTTCTCACATTTATTTGAAAATGGAAATCACAATAGCATTTTATTATAATCTGTGTGTTTTTACAGGGAACTTTGTAATGAATGATTGACCTTCTTGAGAGCTCTCAGAATTCTAGAGAATAGGAGAGCAGGAACCTGGGCCCCAGCTGCAGTAAATGACAGCATAACTGAATTTTTTTTGAAGCCATCATACTTTGGAAGAACCTAACTGAATATTGATTGCATTGTAGACTAGCCAAAAAGAAATGAGAGTTTCAGTGTTCATAACTCAAGGTTTTTAATATGTTTAGTTGTGGAGGTTAAACTAAGTACTGCTTTAGAATATTGACTCTTAAGAGATTCGTAGACTTCTTGGGCTAGAGAATGCCTTTCCAGGTCACCTGGTCTATTCGGTATTATGGCTGCTTCCCACCTGCACAGCTTCACTGTCCATGGAACATGGGATACTTAGGGGAGGGCTTGGTGATTTTACACTTAGCTTGTGCTTTCTGGGATTGGGTTTGGACAAGGTATGTTTACATGACTGAAATAAATTATTTCCGTCAGTTGTGGCTTTAAAAACTGGGGGGATTAGTTTCTTTTTCTTTTTTTTTTTTTTTAAGGCTAGTTAATTGAAGCAGTTGGGGGAATTAGTTTCTTAAAGCTAATCAGTGTTAACTGTGTCTGGCTTTAATCATTAAAGGGTCTAATCAGTTTAGTTTAGTTAATGCCAGTATTATTATATGTTTGACATTCCAGTTGTGCTTGGAAGCAGAACAAATGTTGCTCATCCTTATTTGAATTTTTTAACTCTGTGGTTATCCTGCAGTTGTAGTTGGCACCAGTATTAATGAGCATGGTCATATAATTGTGCTGTATCTAGTTTTTTTAATAAATTATTTGACTCTAATATTCAGTACAAATGACTTTTATTTTTCTTATCTCTTAGACTGCAAGTGGCAACGTGGAAGCAAAAGTAGTATGCTTTTATAGACGACGTGATATTTCCAACACACTTATAATGCTCGCAGATAAGCATGCTAGTAAGTTGTTTTTCTCTGATTAAAAAAATGTTTAAGTCTTGTGTTTTTCATAATGAGGTGCAGACATGCTTTTTCTTACCTGAAGCCTTTTGCTTGTCCATTTATCTTCCTTGTAGTTTTGATGGGAGTAAAATAAGTGATACTAACTGAAACCAAACACTGGTGTTTGGTTTTAGTGTATATATGTGTGTCATTTTGTGTGTGTGTGTGTGTATGTGTATGTATATAACTTTTTTTTTTTTTTTTTTTTTTGGAGACAAAGTTTGCTTTGCCACCCAGGCTGGAGTGCAGTGGTGTGATCATGGCTCACTGCAGCCTCAAAATCACGGGCTCAAGTGAGCCTCCTGCCTCATCCTTGCAAAGTGCTGGGATTACAGGTGTGAGCTATCAGGCCTGGCTTAGCATATAGTTTTTTAGGTTGCATCACATTTATTAATTGGTGAAAATGTTGACATAGAAACCTTTGTAAATAGGCTTTAGCAAATGATCTGGGCAGTGTCTTGCCATCTCCTGTTTTCAGTGGTGGATTTTTCTTTTGAATAGAGATGGAGTCTTGCTATGTTGCCCAGGCTGGTCTTGAACTCTAGGCCTCAAGTAATCTCTCACCTTGGCCTCTCAAAGTGCTGGGATTACATGCATGAACTGCTGGGCCTGGCCCACTGGTGTTTTGTAAGGATACAGATAGGAGGAAATTTATACTTCACTGTTCTGGAGGATGTTTTCTCTCCGCTAAAATAGCTGAATAATACTTAGTTTTTTTGGCGAGGGAACTAGGTCTTGCTCTGTTGCCCAGGCCAGAAAGTGCAGTGGCACAATCATGGCTCACTGCAGCCTCGACCTCCCAGGCTTAAGCAATACCCCCACCTCAGCCTCCAGAGTAGCTGGGTCCACAGGTGTGTACCACAACACCAGGCTAATTAAAAAAAAAACACGTGTTACAGAGATAGTCTCCCTATGTTTCTCAGGCTGGTCTGGAACTCTTGGGCTCAAGTGATCCTCCTACCTTGGCTTTCCAAAGTGCTGGGATTATTGGTGTGAGCTACCATGCCCAGCCAGATTTTTTTTTTTCCCTCATCTTTTAAGTTCAGGGGTACATGTGCAGGATATGCAGGTTTCATTATTTTATTTATTAATTTTATTTATTATTTATTTTGAGACGGAGTCTCGCTCTATCACCCAGGCTGGAGTGCAGTGGCACTATCTCGGCTTACTGCAACTTCTGTCTCCCGGGTTCAAGTGATTTTCCTGCCTCAGCCTCCCAAGTAGCTGGGATTACTGGCTAATTTATGTATTTTTAGCAGAGACAGGGTTTCACCACGTTGGCCAGGCTGGTCTCGAACTCCTGATCTCAGGTGATCTACCTGCCTTGGCCTCCCAAAGTGCTGGGATTATAGACATGAGCCACCACTCCCGGCCTATTATTTTGATTATTATTATTATTTTTTGAGACGGAGTTTCACTCTTGTTGCCCAGGCTGGAGTGCAATGGCGTGATCTAGGCTCATCACAACCTCCACCTCCCGGGTTCAGGCGATTCTCCTGCCTTAGCCTCCCTAGTAGCTGGGATTACAGGTATGTACCACCATGCCTGGCTAATTTTGTATTTTTAGTGAGGTGAGGTTTCTCCATGTTGGTCAGGCTAGTCTTGAACTCCCAACCTCAGGTGATCTGCCCGCCTTGGCCTCCCAAAGTGCTGGGATTACAGGCATGAGCCACCACGCCCGACCTTAAGTTTAAAGAAAATTTTAGCCAGTTTGAATTTTCAAAAGAACAATAAACACACTGAAGTGATTTAAATTTCAAGACAGAAAGTACATTATGTTGAAAGCTATTTTTTTCCTCTACAAAAATGTAGTGAGACTCTAGGAACTTATGTAGGTGGATTTTGCAGTTTGATACTTTGTTTCTTTTTCTTTTTTTTTTTTTTTTTTTTTTAGTTGGAGTCTGGCTCTGTCACCCAGGCTGGAGTGCAATGACATGATCTCTGCTCATTGTAACCTCTGCTTCCCAGCTTCAAGTGATTCTCCTGCCTCAGCCTCCCAAGTAGCTGGTATTATAGGCATGCACCACCAAGTCCCGCTAATTTTTGTATTTTTAGTGGAGACGGGGTTTCACCATGTTGGCCAGGCTGGTGTTGAACTCCTGACCTCAAGTGATCCGCCCACCTTGGGAGTGCTGGGATTACAGTTGTGAACCACCGCACCCGGCCAGTTTGATGCTTTGATTTATAATCACTATGGTCTTGAGGACCCTGAAGCTTTTGAAATGTTCCGGTATGGGTATAAGGAAGGCTGCTATTTGCAAAGGTTTGTTCTGAGTTTGCTTGAGAGTCGTTGCCCCACTGTGTTGTAGATTTAGCCAGGCAAGTTAGTTGTCTCATAAGTTAAATTCTTATTGTATTTTCTCCTGTAGTTCATAGTGTTATTCTGTTTCTGTATAGAAAGTGTTCATTATTTCAATTAATTGCTGACATGTAAAAGAAAAAAGTGTTCATTATGATATGAGTTCTGTCATATTTACAAATTATATATTCAACATATCAGGGCTTCACATTTGCTACTGATAATGAGAACAAAATATTGCTTTAAAAGCACCAGGCTCCTAGTCTCAAGGGATCCTCACAAAGTGCTGGGATTACAGGTGTGAGTCACCATGGTTGGTCCCAAATTGCTTTTTTTTTTCCCCCTTTATGCTTTTTTTTTTTTTTTTTTTTTTGGAGATAGGGTCTGGCTCTGTTGCCCAGGCTGGAGTGCAGTGGCAGGATCATAGCTCATAGCAGCCTTGAATCAAGCCTTGGCACAAAGGATCTTCCTGCCTCAGCCTTTAGAGTAGCTGGGAGTACAGGTGCATCCCACCATGCCTAGCTAATTAAAAAACATCTTTTTGGTAGAAATGGGGTCTTGTTATGTTGCCAGGGTAGGTCTCAAACTCTTGGCCTCAAGCAGTCCTCCCATCTCGGCCTCCCAAAATGTTGAGATTACAGGTGTGAGGCACCACACCCAACTAGCAACAACCTTAGAAGCTAGATTATGAGCATGATTAAATCCAAAGTACATGAATATAAATGAGATTTAAAAAATTTTTTATTTTATTATCTATTTATTTATTTATTTAGAGACAGAGTTTCACTCATGTTGCCCAGGCTGGAATGGAATGGCATGATCTCGGCTCACTGCAACTTCCACCTCCACCTGCCATGTTCAAGCAATTCTCCTGCCTCAGCCTCCCGAGTAGCTGGGATTTACTTTCAAAGGCAACTATATATCTAGGAATGGTGGAGTTAGATGTATCTTACTGTATTTCTGTCGTATTGACTAAAACATCAGGTGCAGAGAGCACATAAAGTTGTCTGAAGAGTTCATGTTTTATGAGGAGTTTTTTAGGGAGGGTTAATGGAGAAAGTGTTATTAGAATGAGTTCAAAACTGGAGTCCTGAGTGTGGATGCCACTTAATTTTCCTGAACTTTAGTTTTTCCATTTAAAAAAACTCTTCTGATTATGGACTCTTTTTAAATTTTTTGACATAGAGTCTCGCTCTGTTGCCCAGGCTAGAGTGCAGTGGCACAATCTTGTCTCACTGCAGCCTCCCTGATTCAAGCAATTCTGATACCTCGGCCTCCCAAGTAGCTGAGAGTACAGGTGCATGCCACCACGCCTGGCAAATTTTTGTATTTTTAGTAGAGATGGGGTTTTACCATGTTGGCCAGGCTGGTCTCCAACTCCTGGGCTCTCAAGTGATCCTTCTGCCTTGTGCTCCCAAAGTGCTGTGAGAGCCACTGCGCCTGGCAATTATGGACTCTTTTTCTTTTTTTTTTTAATTTTTTGAGACGGAGTTTCTCTCTTGTTGCCCAGGCTGGAGTACAGTGGCGCGTGATCTCGGCTCACCGTAACCTCCACCTCCCAGGTTCAAGTGATTCTCCTGCCTGAGCCTCCTGAGTAGCTGGAAGTACAGGCATGCGCCACCACGCCTGACTAATTTTGTAGTTTTAGTAGAGACGGAGTTTCTCCATATTGGTCAGGCTGATCTCGAACTCCCGACCTCAGGTGATCCGCCCACCTCTGCCTCCCAAAGTGCTGGATTACAGGTGTGAGCCACTGCACCCGGCTTACAGACTCTAAAAAAAAAAACAAACATTATTACAGAAAACTTTCATCATGTACAAGCAGAGAAGAATACAATATGCCTGATGTTTCCATCACTGTATATTAACAGTGATCCATACATGATCAATTTTGCTTCATCTAGACCCCTACTCGCTAGCCCATTATTTTGAAGCACATCAAAGAAGCCTTACCTTTTTATCTGTAAATATTTCAGTACTTACTTCTAAAAGGTCATAACGTCTTTCAGTCTTAAAGTGTCCAAGTGTATAAGGAACTCTCATGCCGTTTACTCAGATTCAACAGTTGTTAACATTTTGCCCTATTGGCTTTATCATGCTATATATAATGCAAACATATATATATTATTTTCTGAACCATTTAAGAGTAAGTTGGAGACTTCAGTGTATTTTTTTTTTTTTTTTTTGAGATGGAGTCTAGTTCTGTTGCCCATAGTTGAATAAAAAATTACATAAACCCAACACTTTGGGAGGCTGAGGCAGGATGATTACATGAACCCAGGAATTAGATACCAGCCTGGACAGCACAGGAAGATCCCATTTCAACAACAACAAAAAGAAAAGATTAGTTGTGTGTGATAGCACACAGCTCTTGTCCCAGCTACTCAGGAGACTGAGGCAGGAGGATTGCTTGAGCCCAGGAGATTGAGGCTGCAGTGAGCTGTGTTCACACCACTGCACTCCACCCTGGGTGACAAAGGGAGACCCTTTCTCTTGAGGGGGAAAAATGGATTAAGAGACCTAGAAAATAAGTCCAGAAGCCATAAGTTTTTTTTTGTTTTTTTTTTTGAGACGGAGTCTCGCTGTTGCCCAGGCTTGAGTGTGGTGGCACAATCTCAGCTCACTGCAATCTCCACCTCCTGGGTTTAAGCAATTCTCC